CACAACGAGGACATGTTCTCATGTAGTGTGATGCCTATGTCTAAAATGTACAGCAAAGATATCAGTAGCATACCAAGTCCGTAGTATGTTTCGTATATTGTTATAGTGAAATGAAATACAATTTGATAAACATTCTCTTTATTTACCTTGGATCCAAACATTAACGTGATGACTGTAAATACAATCACGTAGGAGCATATCAAAATCGAAACGGTAAATTTACTTAATTTATAATAAATGAAAGCAGAAGTTTGCTTGAAATTATCCAAGTAGATTTTGCAGCTATTTAGAAATCGATTTGCGTAGATTATTGAGTTATCACTGAGAATTATTTCAAATTCTATATAAACGAATATCGTGAAAGATAAGATTAATATGCAATAAAGAAGATAATCTGCACCAAAAAGACGATTGATTCCTCCTGTGAACCGAACTCGTGCTTCGTCTTGTAACAAGACAAACAAAAGGATATTGATATTAGAAGAAATGAATAATAATTTTAGAAAATACTGATATAGCTTATATATCAAGATAGTCTTTTCGTGTTTTAAAGGTACATAAACTCCAAAAATCAAACCAATTTTCCTCATTTTCGTTACTCTACATAATAAGCAGAAACAATCAAAAGGATGACTCACAATGTTACGAATCATTTTCAAAATGACTTTGGTTTTAAAACAGATTCGAATGTAAACGGTAAAATCGTATAGTAAAACAAAAACCTGTATATTCAAGGCAAATAAATTGGAGAAGACATGGATTGCGTCACGATCAATATATATTTATTCGTAGTTGAATAAACAATGCGAATATTTGTTCAGATTGTTTACAGAATGGTTACATTTTTTGAAAATTATTTCCGGAATATAATATATGTAAAATATCATGTAATAGAAGTCATTCTGGAGAAAATTAAAATAATTCTTCTAATTTTTACGATACTATCTTCGAACATTTCAAATGCTTAAAAAATATTTTATTTTATTTCTATATTTTACTTGTTTTTGCCTACAAATTTTGCAAATGTTTAGCAAAGAATTTTAATTAATGTTGTTCTTCTTGTTACACTAGTATTTATTAAATATTCGAGTACTATAATCAGCTTTTTTAGAATTTATAAGACGCTATTGAAAACTCACTTAGAGATTGATGTTCATCAATCTCTCAGCGAGTTCTTAATGGTGTGTGATGAGTTTTAAAAAGAGCTATTTATAGTGGTCGGATTATTAATCATGTAACTTTTCATTTCTTACATATAAATACAATTAATATCTTTCATTGTATAAATTTACGTTTTTTATTTGGTATTAGTACCTTATATAATATTCGACATAATCAAATTTTTAACGTTCTTTCATTTAGAATAATTCCTGCATAGTTAAACAGAGTTTGTATACATAACAGCGCTCTGATTCCGAACAATCTGCAGTGGAACACTGGTTAAATGTTTAAAATATCATCGCTACACTAACTGCCACATGAAATAATATCTGCTGGACAATACAGTTATCTGTATACGTCTGTATACAAACGATGAAGTTTATAACGAGCAAAAACTACTTCTAAACATGCTGTCAATAAAAAATCCGATAGAGTATAGAATTTAAAATAAAACGTACTAAATTTAAAGATAAAATGTGTAATCAATTAAAAATGATTACACCGATTTTTCTCTCGTCTTCAATGCTTTGTTGTTTGTCGGAACGGCAGCTAACGTCGTCGAAGTTCGGGTTTGATTACTTTATTTTCAGACGTTTACAAGTATACATCACAAATACGAAAATATGTGTATGAGAACTAATGACTTTTATTCTGGAAGCAAAGTGTAACTTCCATACATGATTTTTTTTATTTTTAAAGGAAAGTCAGTGAGTCAGAAATCCGACTATACACAAGGGAATCAGTATTACTCCTTTCAAATCCGCCCTATTACATCCATGTCTAGCCAAGCAGATGACTAAATCGCTCTGGCCTCTATCAGATTAGTTAAGATTACTTACAAGCTTCACCGTCTCACTACTTATCTAATACAAAGAGATTGTGTCTTGGAAATATTTTTTATCCCAAGCAGGTTTTATGCCATTTAACTACTTTTAATGTCATCAGTGTCCATTTTTGATTTTTTGCGTGATCTATAATAGAAGTAGTGAAATAATGCGAATCTAAACTCTTCGCTTGGCTCTACTATTACATCGTCATTGTTACAGTGCACTACAGATGTACTGACACGAATACATTTGCTTATATTCGCGTTTTGCACACCTTTTCCGTTCGTGTTCAGCTAAAGACATGTTTTGTTAAACCAGAAAATGGTTCGACAATCATGACATAGATTTCTATATTAGCGTTTATTACGGCAAATATTAAAATAAAAATTTCGAAATTTAATTAGTTAATAAAGATATTTATAAATTAGAAATACGTCCTTAAATTCCTAAATTATCGTCTACGAATATTCCGATTTACAAAACACATATCTATTCGTGTTTCTCAATGTTTCGGATATTTTACATTCTAATGTGTATTATACAACAACATGGAATTTTCGAAAATATGTCTTAATTAAATCGTAAACTGCATTTTCAAATACTCAAATCACAGTACAAGTTCGATTAAATTCATAAAAGTCTCAGTAAAATACCAACTCGAAGTGCAATGCATTAGAATCCCTATTTTCAGAAATCATTCGAATATTTACATATCTTAAATATTGTTGTAAAATGACTTATTGGGGATAGACATTCTCTTCAAACTAATGTCAGAACGAGGAAAATTCTTAATGTAATGTGATTACAGTCATAATTCGGTAAGCACTTTTTTACATCTCTAAAAATTTAATTGTGCAGCTAGTATCAATCATTATCATAATATCAGATGAATTTACTTATTAAACTTTTCCAGAAATATTTACAGTATTGTTCTAAATGAGTTAATGTTTAAAATATAAGTAACCGCTTCGATATTCATGCAATATTTAAAACAATCTATTAATTTATTAAAATGAAAAATGTTTTTCGATTGAATAATATGCTAAAATCATTTAAGGACATATTTTTAAATTAGCAAATTATAGAATTCAGTGTATAATGCTGAATACCCGTTGTTTTTCTTCACAATACATTTATAACAAATGCTATCATAAATAAGAACTTTCCAAATGATTAATTGTAATTTCATTAACAAATTAATCGTAATGGAATTAGTACATAAATACATTGTATCATTGTAGTTGCTATTTTTGTGGAAAACAATATAAAAACAATAATTTTGTAAACTGTGTATATAATTAGAATTTTATTGTAGTTAATTAAACTATGGAGTAATGAAAAATTATTTTATTTATAAAATAATTTGAGACTTCTACAGCATTTTGTAAAAAATGTTTAAAATTTGCGGAAAGCTCTCTGTTTTTGCATTTGGATGCTATCGTATTTTAGAGATTAAGTAGATGGGTGCAGAGGGGTATCATGTGTGATATATCGAAACAAACTTAATGAAAGTTTTACTCGTTATTAGCATTCACATTTTTTGGGAAACATTTTGAATGCGTAAACTGATATAATAGAAATTAAGTCAATGATTTTCAAAATTGTCTTTCAACGGCCATCTTATCAGGATTTTATCTGAGAAAAGTTCAGTTTTTATTTTCAAAAAAGAAATTCTTTCTAACGCATCCTTCTAAAATTAGTAGTATTGTACTGGTTTCCTTCTTGGAAACCATGCACAGTACACAAAAGACATATTAATTCGATTAACGTTAAGTGAAGTCGGTAGAGATATTGTTACAACAGAATGAAGTTTCAGAGGCACCAAAATAGAAAAAGAATGGCATGGAAATGTCATACAGATATCTTCGATTTAACATCGAATCTTTGTGAATAAACTTTTGTTTGAAGAAGGTTAAAAATAAATTTCAATTTTATTTTCGAAAATAAAAAAGAAAGAAATAAGCAGAAAATTTGATAGAATAAAATTGATAAGACTGAGTAAAGAATGTAAATTATAAGATCAACGTTAGTGAACGTTGCCGAACCATTTGAAATGGTAGGTTAAGATTTTTGCATTTTATTTATTACTTGGTAAGTTATTTTTTCAAATTTTGTAATTAATGTACTGCTTTATTGCAACTTTTTCTCAAATTTTTACTATCCACTGATTAAACTGTATAAAAGAAATTAAAGCAAAGTTTATAGTCATTTAACTAGCGCTCATGTGCTGCAGAGTTGTTTAACTTCAGAGTGCCCAAAGCGCCCAAAACATTGTTTACTTATACAAAACTCATCTTAAATAAATGAAAAATAGAGCATTTGATGATGTTCTGTCTATGAATAACGACTAATAGGATATAAGTTAAGGAAGTATATACTATATATTACATAAATACAGTAGATCCCCCTATAAAACCGTTTCCTATAGTTATGATTCCTATAAAAATTGTGGCATTATCCGTAAACAACAGTAAAAATAACTCCTATAATACGTAAAACGTCATCGGGCAGCCGAACTACTTTCCCGCCGTCCGTAGCGCCACACTACGGACGTTTAGGCGGATAAATTGAGTTTAGTATCGTCTGTTCATATAATTATATATAAATTAGATACTTNTTTTAAAAAAAAAAAAAGTCTTCTTTATCTTATATATATACACCATGTAATCATATCATGCTTCTTTATATCTTCTGAAAATACCAAATAGATGTTGAATGAGAGTCAAAATAATATAATAGACCAGAACTGGATACTTGAACAGAACAGCAGAGCTGATAGAAAACTTCAATAGAGAACTCCATTAAACCAGAAAAACCATGAAAATAATAAAGGAATCAACTTTTAATATGATATAAAATCTGGTAATGGATAATTTTACAAATTCTCCATTACCAGTTTTTTTATCATATTAAATAATAATAGTTCAAATCTGGTAATGGATAATTTTACAAATTATCCATTACCAGATTTGAACTATTATTAAAAAATTTGAACTATCTGGATTGTAAAATTATCCATTACCGGATAGTTCAAATTTTTTGTGTTCAAACTTAAAATTGCAGAGATATTGATATTTGAAAACATAAGAAACTTGAGCAGTTGTTCTATTTGAACATTGAAATTCTTAAAATTCAAATGTATGGATCTTGTGATGGGATTTATAGGTCCTGAAAAGTGCTTTATATTGTATTAAAAGTTGAATCCTTTATTTTTTTTTATGGTTTATCTGATTTAAATAGCAGAGCGATGATGATTAAATGATTTTAAATGATAAAAACAACATCCAATTACTGGTTAACATTAATAATAAAAGTTCTACTAAGTCACTAAACCAATAAACCAATAGAAGAACTACTCCATTTCAAAAGCAAATGTTTTCATCCATTTTTAAAAGGACATCTTCAGGCTGGTGTTCCAAATTCAAACCACACATTTTAAATGGACCTTAATCTCTGTTGCTGATTGGAGGATAGTTGACAGTTGCTGATTGGTGGAAAGGTCAATTCAAATTTACCATGTTTCATTTACTATACAATATTGTTTCAGTTTAAAATAAAAAATTTAAATGCAAACAATACAGAATACATTAAAACTGCTTATGAAGTTATTTAAAACTTGAATGTTTTTGAATGAGGATACTTGGTTTTTTGTATCATTATAATTCCATTTTTATCTACATTGTTTAATGGCTTTTTATTAATTTTTAATCACTATAAAAGTAAAAGATTCTGTTTCACATCTGTCTTTGTTTATTTATTATATTATGGGAATGCCTTCCTATTTCTAATAGCATAACTTTAATCAGTTAAATATTTTTATTCAAGAATGCCTTGACCGACAAACAAATAGAAATGATTGAATCAAATGTAGCATCATTTATCAAGAATCAGATTGACATTACAAGAAGTGTACTGCCATTACAAACAGCAATGTTGGAACCAAATATTACTACTATACCACAAATGGTGAGATTTTATTTTAAGTATTAATACAGCTGATAAATTTAATTTTTGGTTATTAATTGTATTGATAAAATTCTTAAAATGAATATAACACATTTTAAATCTTTCAGATTTATCCAGATATTGTTAATGTAATAACTATTGGTAAAGATAGACCAAATAATAATTTATTTTCTGCAGAACTTTGTTGTGGAACGTAAGTAATTCAATTTTAATACCTATATAAATAACTGAATTTAATAACATTTTAAAATCTATTTGTAAGTAAAATATAAATTTTATTGATAGTTTAACTGTTGATACATTTCAATTTCTGTAGCTATTGCAAAAACAAAACTAATTTATTTATTATTTTAAATAAAATAAAAAGTTTCAAAATTCAATGAGGAAATTTAGAGTATCAACAAATGATTTTTGACTTTTTAAGCCATCCTCAGGTAATAAATACTTTAATAGAACAATTTGAATATATATAAAGTTTAAATTTGTATTCATTCCACATATTTAACATATATTTTATATAAATTTGTATTTATTATACAAATAAATATTATAAACTTTGTTGAAAATAAATACTTACAGCCAAAATATGTAATGAACAACAACAATTTGTTTCTGTAAATTCCTTATGTGAATTAAATAGTAAAAGATATTATTTTTAGATATGAAATAAACAGCTGGATTATCTATCAGGCTACTTAGAGCTAATTAAATAATAACTAAGTAATTTGGCTAGAAGTAGTGGTTAAGCTACCATTTCACATAAAAAGCTGACAGAGATAAATAAATTTAATTTAGAAAATTCTAAATTAATTTAGTTTAGAATTTAAATAAAATTGATTCTCTTCCAGAATATTCTAGGTTAAATTTATTCATTTTTAATTATTAAATTTAAAGTAACATGTTAGTTTAACTGTCTACTTCTAGCCAAATTATTTAGTAATTAATTAGCCTTAAGTAGTCTGAAAAAGAGTCCACCTATTTGTTTGATATTTAAATTATTAGTGTTGGTTATATATATTGTTGTACTCCTCAGAAATTGTCAAATGTAAAAGATCAAATTATCAGCATATTTAAAGTTTTCAGAGATATATCAAAATAAATATTATTTTGTTGAAATTTTAAATATTTTTTAAGGCTTAATAATTTTTATACTATTGAGTGTAATAATTTAATTTTAACATGAATTAAAAATATTTGTATATTAATAGACATCTACATAACACCAGTCATGTGAGTTCATTTGTAATTACTTCTCAAAGAAAAGTAAGCCAAACTGAGAGATTGCTACATGTCGTAACAGGAAAACAAGCACAGTCAGTTATTGGATTTGGAAATAGGTTAATAGAAGAAGTTCTACAAATGGAAAAAATTGTTGAAAAAGAAGAATTAAAGCAAGTAGATAATGTAAATAAAGTATAAATAACAACATTCAATAATCACAGTAGAAACACTCTTAACTTGCCTCTACCTAATCAATCTATCAGATTAATCAATTTCTTTAATTTTATAAATTCCAGAAACAGTAAGATAAACACTGAGGCAATAAACATTTTTGACATAATATTATATAAATATGATCACTTTAATCTTGAATTTTATAAAAATTGAGAATTTAAAATTACAGTACAGCGTCAATTATCTGAAAGTCAATCATCTGAAACGTCAATCATCCGAAAGAATTCCAGTCGGCAAATTTAAATTTTTGCCAGTGCTGTGGCGCTGCAATCTTTGGCTATATGTTGGGCTACTCAAATATTTTACGTTTTTGATACTAAATTAACTTCTGAAGTATAATTTTTTATTGTTTTTATATTTTTCAATATATTTATTTTGTTTGTATAAATAAAAAATAATTTTTAACGATACAATAGTCTTCGTTAGGCTTAACATCGACGAAAATTCAATGCGAAGTGACACACAATGGAGAAAAATGTCAAGATGGGATAAATTAATACATTTTTTTGTACATAATTGGTTATCCGAAACATCGATCTTCCGAACAATCCCAGTCCCCAATTGATTTGGATAATCGACGCTCTACAGTAATTTATTTTTATTATTTATTTTAATTCAGAATTAGTATGGCAAAAGTAAAAGTTCTCATTTTTGGCTTCCATTTGTCTTGATGTTAATTAATATGCTGTCATCTGAAAAGTTAAATCTAAAAATTAAAATTTTTGTAAATGAGTGTACAGTATAGACCAGATATAGTACAGATTTGATAATGAATATTTAGAATGTTAAATACACTTTATTATAATTCTTCATTTTAAACAATTTTTTTTTTTTTTTGAATAACAGCTGTTACTAATCAGGTTGGTTAAGAAGGTTTCTATTGTATAAACTTTTTTATATCATGTAAATCATTCTAGTTGTTTAATGTTAATATGGAATCCCAATTTCATTAATGGATAAAAACAAGTCTAATATAAATTATATAGATACTATATAGAAATTAAATCAACATGGAGAAATATTAAACATATGCATGTTTAATGTTTTTCTCATGTATTTTAAGAGCAGGCAACTAGAAAACTATTTATATTTCATTGAAATATAAATGCGTAAAATGCATAAACTCAGAAAATTTACAAAAATTCTCAAATAGACAATATTTTAAAAAGTGTCTTCTCACTTTGTCTCCTTCACTCATCAAGAAATAAGTCTCATGGTGGAATCAACCTTTCTTTAGAGGCTTCTTATCTGTCTCAAACTTATTTCCTGATGATGTATGAAAGGAACAAAGTGAAAGGCATTTTAAAGTATTGTCTATTTGAGAATTTTTCTAAATTTTCTAAGTTTATACGTTTATTGTTCAGCTATTTTATCAAATGTAAAAAATGCAATTATGTTCATGTTTTAAAACCTGAGATGAAAATTAATGGGAATTCTTCATTCTTTTTTGAAGAAAGCTGTAGATATTAAATGTAAATCAGCAACTTTGAGTTGATTCTGAAGATTTTTTTTTTATGAGCCTGCTTATGCTACTGGTTTTTTGTAATACTTAACTGGAAAAGCTATCCATATTTATGATGTAAACAGTTTTTTATAATGTTAAACAATGCACATATTTTCATTGCATGATTCTTGATGCCTGGATGTAGATAGATAATTGCAAATACATATAATTATAAAAGATAAAACACTGGCATATTTTGAATAAGGTGAATTATCTAACTCCAAATTAACTAATTCAAATTAGAAATAATAGAAGAATCTATTCTTGTCCTTAGCACTGGCACCAAATTAACTTCCTATAGATATTTAATTCTTTGTTTTCTATTTCTATTTGTGAAACTAATAAACAATATTTTGGTGTTTTTATATTATAGATTCAATTAAATTTGTTTTAAATATCATCAGTTACTGTATATCAGAAATATTTATGCAAAACATTTTTTTTCTAATATTTTCAGAAACTTAAATCTTAAACTGTCATCAAACTTTTATGAATTCATATTTCAAGTGAAACTTAACAGTGTAGTTAGCATAGTACTTTTTAATACTAGAAATACTTTCTTAGTATTCACAATGTGAAAAGAGTTATAAAAAAAAACTAATGCAGACAACAGTATTATTTTCAGTTTATATTTTTCGTTGATTTGTAGTGTTGCTCAAATGACATTTCATATTATGAGTTTAGTTTTATGAGACTCACTAGTTAAAATTTTTTTGTTTTCATTTAGATTTAAAAATTTATTGATTTCAGTAACTAAAATTTCTTTAAGGTCATGTTAAACTAGTGGTGTTTCTTTTTGAAAAATAATATTGTTTAATGAGACCTGGATAGTTTCAATCTTTACTGTACAGTACTTTAATATAGACACAATAGATTATATCCCCATGTCTATTATAGAACAATGAATGTTTTCTTTTTTTTCACTAGATCTTTAGAAATTTATTTTGAAATGATAAATTATTAAAGGAATATAAACAAGAAAAGTTATTAAAGAAGTATTAACAATTTAAATTGTGAAATACAGTTTCTAAAAACGGTAAATCTAAATATATAAAATTGCTTGTCCTGACTGACTCACTCATTCATTCACTGATTCATCATCGCCCAGAGCAAAGCGCTTAACCTAAAGAGGTGAAATTTGGTACACAGTTAGGGTACGTCATGGAAACGCACACTAAGAAAGGATTTTTCGAAATTCCAACGCGGGGGGGTGAGGGGGAGCATTAAGTCTTAACCGGAAAAACGGCTTCTACTGCNAAACAGAATAATTACAAACATTTGAGAATTAGTAAATATAAAATAAACATTTTAAAATAATTTATTTTTGTAAAACATAATAAGTTTTTATTTTTATAATCCTAAATAATAATAATAATTAAAAAATTTTGATATTTTATTTATCATATTCAGTTATATACTGATTTAACAACAGGATAAGAAGCAAGGTTTTATCACAATATTTTAATTCATATGAAAAATTATTAAATGAGTAATATAAAAAATTTTTGAACATTTTTGGTTTTAATTAAAGAAGTTAATTTAATAACATTTTATGTTATAGATAGAACCGGATATAATGAAATCTGTAATTGTGGATATAAAGCAAGAGAGAAAAGTAAGTAATTTAAATTATTTTTTGAAACTTTTAATTTAAACTTTGTTTCAAAAATTGTTAATTATTATTTCTTGTAAAAATATGTTTTTGCCAAATTAAAATAACAATTTGTTATTTATTTAATAATTACATTTCTGGCTCTTGATAATTTCTGATTTTCAAATGATTTGATATGTGAGTAACGGATTTTTACAGGCTTCTTAAAAATCTAAATTTTCTGTTAATTATCTTCGGAAAAACCCGAAGAATTTGAACTAGATCGGATTTCACCGATTGTATAACAATTAGATGGGAAAGTTTACACTTAGGTGTGAAGAATGCACCGTCATCATCAACAAAAGTCAATCACGTGACAGTTTTCCCATGCAAATGATATAAAAGCTCGAATCTCCGGAAGCTCAGCGCAATTAGTCATAGGAAGTTATACTTTGTGATAGTGCCCACCTTGATTCCCGAACCTCCATACAGCGGACCCGATCCAGCTACAGAGAGAGGACATCGGATAGAAGACACCAAAGACACCACACCCTTCCATACAGATGACATTCGCCAACTCTCCATTTCGCCGAGAGGTATTTAGGGGTTAGAATTTGTAAAAGCGCTCTCTCTCGAACTAGAAATTAGGTCAGCAACATAGCTACGAAATTCATCGCCAATTTCTGTAAATATTTAATATAACTGCATTTAACCTTAGTATTTCTGTAACGTAGATTTAGTGATTCAATAAATGCTTTATTATTTTGTTAACCTGTCACCTGTCATTTAAGGACACCTGCTGACTTACCGACGCACTCCCCATCCGATTTGTCCTCCTAGCCATCCAACGACCTCGAGATCGGGCCTTACTGGCCCATGCAGAGTAAGTGGTCATTTGGGAATTTAACTATGGCCCACTGCTTATCTCACAGATATATATGTATTTGAACCAGTTGAAAATCACTTTATTTTATAAATGAGCAAAATAATAATAATGTAATTTTTCTTCCTGTTTCTGCATTAATTTTTGCATTATTACTATATCTTGGTTTTGAATTGCTCAATATAATTGTTTGACTTCTAATAATGAGTTTTATAGCCAGGAGAGCCTTTTTTCTTTATCTCCTTTTGCTATCAAATATAAAAAAATTATAAATAAGAAATATCTAAAGTTTATATTTTGGAAATCAAATAGTACAACTAGACTTATGTTGGCAGGGCTAATTTTCAGTTAGAATGCATCAGTACACTATATTGGCAGATAGCATAAAAAATATCAATAGCCAGAACATAGTACTAGCAGTTGCTGAGTAAAAGCAATTGTATATTTCAGTCACCATGTATGATTACTGGCAGTAATTTTTAGAGTACTGCACATTGTGCTACAATAAAGCTAATTAATTAATGAGATATTAAACAATTTGACTAGGAGTAGCTGTTTAGGCTACCATCTTGTGTAAAATATAAAACATATAGAGTGTTGTTTATCCAAAAGCTGATCAACCAAAACGTCGGTTAACCAGAAACGTTCCAGTCGGACTGTGTCATGCTGAATTAAACATTTTTGATACTAGATTAACTTCCAAAATATAATTTTTTTTGTTTTTATATTTTTCAATATATTTATTTTGTTTGTACAAAATAAAGAATTAATTTTTAACGATACAATAGCCACGATTATTATTTAAAAAAATTTACTTTAGGCTTAACATCAAGGAAAATTCAACGTGAAGCAACACGCAATGGAGAAAAATTTCAACATGGGATAGGTTAATATGTTTTCTCGTACGTAATCGGTTATCTGAAAAATAAGTTATCCGAACAACCCCAGTTCCCAATTGATTCAGATAAATGACGCTCTACTGTAATTAGAAATAAACTCTAAATTAATTTATTTCTAATTATTAAATTTAGCATGAGAGAATGCTTATCTGTAGTCCAAATTGCTTAGTATCTTACTAATTAATTAGCCTTATTGTAGCCCATATGAATCTGGCTATATCATTTGATTAGTAAGGTATATCAAGTTGATTGTATATGAAATTTAGATATTTGAATAAACCACATATTCTGCCAAAGAAAGCAAAAACAAGATTCAGTTAGAAATATCATGTTATTGAATTAGCTATGTTTCTTAATGCTGTCTGATAAAATGTTGATGCTCTAACATTTGGGATATATTCTCTAACAAGGATTCTTTAATTCATCCAGAGAACTGTTACTTTTAAATATGTTTTTCTGTTTAGGTCTTTTTTCTCTCATGTATTTTGCTTTCCAAATGTTCATTTTTTGGTAGACATAATATTTACATCCTAAGTTTATACATGGAAGAATCAAACATAAGCTGAACTTTTAATGTAATTTGTATTATTTAGCATAAAAGTATTTGTAAATCACTGTCAAAAAATGCATCTTCTGCAGCTACATATTTCTGCTAGCACTTGTATCCTTTGTCAAAGTAGTACCAGAAGCTATTTTTTGTGATGGTTTTAAGAGCTGTAGTTGCTGTGACCTACAGCTTTTCTTCTATCATTCACTTCTGGTCAGCAAATAGCTGATCAAGAAAACACAATGGTTCTTTCCCAATCTTCTTACATTCCTTGCAGACTTATCTGTTCCCTAAAATTGAAAAGATGCAGATTAAGTAGTAGAATGGAAGTAAACAACAAAGCCATTATAGATGTCACAAAAAATAGCCTCCAGGACTACTATGACAAGTGGTATAGACATGCTGGCAGACATCTGTAAGTGCAAGAGCATATTTTGAAGGTAGGTTTAAGAACTTGTGTATTTTATAATAAATAAAACAAACCAATCATTTGGCAAGTTAGATTCGTATTATGACACGCTAATTAACCTTATGGATCAGCCTATGCATCGGTCTATCCTGGAGACATAGAAGTGCTAGCAAACCTTGTATGTTTGTAATCATTCTTCAGCTTTGAAGGTAGAGTTTATAAGCAGTTGAAAGGAGTTCCGATGGGCAGCCCAATGTTTGGCTTACTCTGCGAGTTAGTTTTATGCAAAAAGTGCACAATTACGAATTTTAGTGAAGACATAATCCTATACAAAAGGTATGTCGATGATGTGTTTATTCTATGGAAGAATGATACAAAAATACACCATTTTTTGAATGAAATAAATGCAAACAATGATGGTTTAAAGCTTAAATTGGAGTAGATTAGTAACACGGAAGTACATTTTTTGGACATTGGCATTTCATTCAAGAATGATGCTCTAAACATGAAAGTATATATCAAGCCCACGCATCGACCTCCAATGATCCACACACCTATAAACTCTCACCATTTAAAGCACTGATTAAAAGGGCTTTCCAATATTGCTCCAACTTACATGACAGACTGGAAGAGCTGGATAAGATTATGGGCGTGGCTAAAATATTGGGCTTTGGAACAAAAGCCATTGAAGGATTAATTAATTCTTACACAGATCCTGGAAGAAAGAAGAAAAAGGGAGATAGAAGCAGCAATATCACAAAGTTCATATACAACAGAGGTCCATCCGATTTATGAAAGAGATTGCAAATCACAAAAACACGACACTACTATACAAAAGGGCTCCCACGATATATAACTTACTCAGAAATGACAAGAATAAGATCAAAGAGGAAGAGCAAGCAACTGTATACAGGATACCGTATAAGAATGATCTGTTAAGTATCAACAAAGAATATGTGGGTGTCACAACCAGAAACCTAAACAAAAGAATCAAGGAGCATAAGTACAACATAAACAAAAAACACTATACAATAGCGTTATCAAAAGTGGCGGAAGCCAGAATTGTTGCACTAATACTGACTCTTGCATTAACATTACAGAAATGCGAAATCTATAGATTGAGCCTGACTGGAAAATGTTTGAACTATAAGGATGCCATGATTTTTCCTTCAGCTTGGAAGTATGTAATAAAAAAGAACTCATAATTTAATGCCAATTGCCATTGGTGTATAATTGTAATGCCATTGATGTATAATCTTATATTATTATACTTATATTTGCATTTATTATATTTATTATTGTATTTCATTATATTTAGTTTAATTAGATAAATTTCAATATGTAATGGACTAATTAGTTGGTTTCTATTTTCTATATTTTAAATTTAACATGATGTTCGAAACACTTTGAATTTAAAATTCTTAGAGTTTCGATAAGAACAGTTGTTAAAAGTTCATGTAACATCAATAACTTGAGGATGACCCCTTGAGTGGATTGAAAATGTTTGTTCAACATAATAAACAAAGTCTCTCAGTAATAAGGTGTGGTTGATATACAATATTCAAAGAATCTGAGTGTAGTTTGAAGTTATTATAAAATTTCTACATGTTGTTTAACTTTCCTTTTATACATGTTTCTTTCTACATGTACAGTACATGGATAACTTTAACATTTATTTAAATCAATATTAAATTTGGTTACACACACACACACACACACACACACATATATATATATATACAGTAGAGCATTGATTATCTGACTCAATTGGGGACTAGGGTTGGTCGGATAACCGAAAAGTATGAAAAAATCCATTATTAGTGTAGTATATTATTATATCCCATGTAATTAGTATATTAGTATATCACTATTAACCTACTTCGCGTTGAATTTTCCTCCATGTTAAGCCTATCAAATTTTTTTTAAAATAATAATCGTCGCTATTGTATCGTTAAAAATTAGAAAATTAAGTCTCGTTTAAATACTGGCCTCCCTTCAATGGTCGACTTGGTGTTGCCAGCTAAAACACACAAAAATTTAACAAAAATAATATTAAAGTAGCCAAGACATAGCCAAATATTGTAGCGCCACATCACTAGCAGACATTTGAATTTGCCGACTAGAACGCGGTCAGTTAACCGAGGTGACAGTTAATTGGGGGTCGGATAATCGATGCTCTACTGTATATATATAAATTTTTGTTTTTTACTTTATGGCACTAAAGAGGGATAATTACCCAAAATGTATTATTTGCCAGATTAATAAAATTTTTTAGTAAAGGTTTGTCAGATGTTTTATCTACTAGATATTTAAACTTAAACACTGTAGAACAAAAAAAAAAATTACTGCCAGATGTAAGGTTTTATAAAAAGCAGCTTACACTTAAAAGAAACAGTTGGTTCAACTTTAATATATTTGTCTTGTATAAATCTTAGAGACTGAAAATGTTTCTATAATAATCAAATACTAATGATTTCTTAGATAAGTCTTTTTTCATATTAACACAAATGTTATTTATAATAAATAATTAACAATATCAAATTTTTACTTTTAGACATTGAGAGATTGTCTTGTACCCCTACGAAAGCAAATGACAATATATGAAAAAATAGACACAATTGAAAGGAAAATTAAAAGTTTAATTAGAAGATACACAAAGACCAAAGGAATACAAAAGGTAAAACTGTCATTCCTTTAAAAGTCATCTTTGCTTTATCACTTCTTTGATACACTCTTCTACCAGAAAATTGTCCAGTTTTAATGAAATTTACCAATTTACTGTCTTACCCAAAATTTATCAATCAAGCAGTTTAAGTAGTACATGTTAACAATGATTGTGTCAATGATTAAGAAAATTATGACTTTGATCTTTACTTATTTAAAGGTAGAAAATTATTTTTAAATGTTTTCAGTATAATTTAGGATGTATCATTATCAGGCTCTACACTTCTGGTTTTTTTTTCCTTACAATTTGATCTCTTGGAAAGAGATGTAAGGTCTAAAATGTTAAAGAAACAAGCTTTACACCATAGTTTGTAGTAGAAATTTAAAAATTCTATTAAACTGGAAATGCCAGTACTGGACTTTGACTACAAAAAAAAAAATGTTAAAACAACAATAATTAATATAAAACTGAAATGTTACAATTTCAATTTTGTAATTGCAACAGTAAAATTGATTATTATTAAAAATTACAAAATTAAATTTATTTGAAATCTTGAAGCTAGCAAAAAAAAAATCCTTAATCAGCACAACCACTTACAGTTCAGCAACTACATACTAACCAGCAGAAGTGAAGGCAGATTTGCATATTGAACATGCTTACAAAAATAACATATTGCTTAATTTGGGTCTTTACCATTAATATTCTGTTTATATTTTGTGAACAAATATTTAGTATTTTAGTCTTGTTTAAACCTTAAATTAATGGGATTCAAATCTTACTATGAAGTTGTTCAAATGAAGGTCTAGCTGGAAAGTGTTGGTATAGCAATTGAAGTTTAACATAACTTATTCTCTAAAGCTCAAAATAACTGAAACAAAATGAGATATAGGAAATATTGGAGTATATTATATATTATTACACTTTTAAATATCAAATTTATAAATTAAAAAAAAAAACAGTCAATAAAACTGAAAAAACTGAACTTCTCTTAGACTCCTCCAGTTTATTCTGGAAATGGTATCCATCTTTCATCTTGATGCTAATGTGAAGTTTCAGCAGACATTTGTCTATCACAGAACAAATTTAATTCAGATTTCTTCAAGGTGTTAATGTTGCTGTACATTTTAGAGCAAACACTTGAGTATGAACTAAGTGTTTGCTCTAAAATGAGTGTGAAGACACACTCATTTCACTTGAGTGTGAAGACACAGTTCATACGTGGATTGATGTCTGGACTTGAAGAGGGAGCCAACCATGGCACTTCATTCTCTCTAAAGCATGTCAAGATACTTTTGGCTTTTTGAAAAGGTGTTTAATCTTGCTGGAAGACCCACGACTTGTCAAATCCCCAGAAATCCATCATTAGCTTTAGTTTGTTGTCTAAAATTTTCTTCAAGTAAATTTTTTCATATGTTCCATACTCCTTGATAAGACACAGTCCACCAAACATGAACTTTCTGAGTATGAGCGAGACAAGATGACTTTTTATTTCCAGAGGAATGTCTGCAGACCTTTTAGCTAAAATTCTGTTTTTTTTTTATGATGTATTGCATAATATGGAAATATTTCTTGTAGAAATTGATCATTTTTGGAAGCTTTGACTTTGTTCTTTAAAAAGCTGTTTGCATTTCTGATTCCCATCTTTTTTTTAGTTTTGGTATGATGCCTGTAGGCCATTTCACAAGCCTTGACTCCCAAGTCTTCAACTGTTTAGCTACAATTTTTTGGTTCCTCTGAGGATTTTGTTGAATTTGAGATGCAACCGATTTGATAAATTCTGCCATGCAAGTACTATGATACCTAACATTCATAATCCTATCAACATCTCCACATTCTTCCCAATGCTTTTTAGCATAAAAGACAAACTGCTGAATAGTTTTCAAGTGTTTATTATTACAATTTGTATAGTACTTTCAGTAATTCTAGAGCTAGAGCTCTGCTCTTAACTGGAGCTCTTCTCTTAAATTTTCCATTTTTGTTCAGAATTTGAATGAAAAGACTTGAGCATGCAACTGTGGTATTGTCCACTTAAGTCTTGTACTATGTTACAAGAGCATCTCCAAAAAAATTGCTGCAGTGAGAAATGGGCCATTTTAAAGTATAATAAAAATATATTCAGTTAGTCACTCCATTAGTTTATACAAGGTGTGACAATTAAATTCCAGGATTGGGGTAATAAAAGGACACAAAGAACATATGATGAAAAACCCTTTTAATATGTTTCAAAGTAACCCCCCTGGAGGGCAATGCACTTCTCGCAACGCTTGTACAAGTTCTTGAAACACTCTGCAAAGCCACTTCTGTTGACTGCTCTCAATTCCTTGGTCACATTATGCTGTATGTTCTCCAGGTCATCGAATCTTCGTCCCTTCAATGTGATTCTGATTTTTGGAAACAAAAAATAGTCGCAAGGCGACAAATCTGGTGAGTATGGAGGGTGGCTCAACTCCACAATGCCATGTTTGGCCAAAAACTCCTTGACAACAGTCGCAGTGTGCGGGCGGGCATTGCTGTGCAGCAGTACCCAGCTTCCTCTTGCTGCAAACTGAGGCCTAACCCGACGAATTCTCTTCAACAGTCAATTTAAAACTTGTACGTAATAGTCCTTATTAACTGTCTGACCTGGGGGAACAAATTCTTTGTGAATGATCCCTGTGCTGTCAAAATCAAAAATGAAGGTGATCAGCATCACCTTCATTTTTGATTTTTCAAAGCGGAATTTCTTTTGCCGTGAAGATTGTGGTAAGCACCCTTCTATACTTAGTCTCTTGGTTTCCAGGTCATACTGGAAACACCATGTTTCGTCACCTGCTACTATGGAATCTAGTAAAGAGGGGTCATCCTCAACATCTTGAATGAACTGTTGACATGCTTTCAGCCAGAGACGCTTTTGGTCCTCAGTGAGATAGTGCAGATTGAAGCAGGAGCAGATTTTTCTTTGGCCCAAATCTTTGGTGATGATTAAATGAGTTGTCTCCGCTATCATCCGAATAGACATTCGACGGTCATATCACAGCAAATCTCTGATTTTTTCGATGTTTTCGATGTTTTCTGGTGTTCAAACTGATTGAGGTCGTCCAGGGCGAGCATTGTCCTCAAGGTTTTCTCAACCATCCCTGAAATGCGCAAACCATTCGAAAACACGAGAGCTGGATAGGGCATCATTCCCATAAACTTGCTTGATGAGGGCATACGTCTCTGTTGCACTTTTACCTAACTTGTAACAAAACTTAATGTTCATTTTTTGTTCCATGACAAAAACATGAAAGCACTTTCTCACAGCAATATGTGAATGGAGTACAGAAAAAGAATGAGTTACGCGACACGAACAAATCTTTGCAGACAAGTAGCCAGATGGTTGAACTATTATGACAAGCTTAGACAAGTTTCTGCACACTGACACTACAGCACTACACGACTAGTCCTGGAACTAAATTGTCACACCTTGTATAACTATAAACAAACTCTCTCTACAAGGTAGAATTTTTGATCTGTTAATTTAAAAATGGTGTTAAACAGATGAATCAGCTTTTGTTTCACTTACTTTTTGATTCTATTAATTTGATTCAGAATTTATTGTAGGAAAGTTATTGTAATCATCATCATCATCAATCCATATTTTATTATAAAGGTAACTGTACAATGTGTGTGCCACTAAAACTCAAAAACAAGTCCCTGTATGATCAAGGGAGTTATATGGTGTGGTAGCCCTCTATCCCCCATCCATGAAGAAGGTTCCTGTTTTTACCTGAAGGGCGTGCTGTTGAAGATATAAGGACTGGAAGTTTTGCCCTCTAGAAATTTCTAGAAGAGTCCAGAACATTCGAGAGCCATTCCACAACACACTCGAATGCTGTGGAATGTTCTGGAACATTGCGGACCATTTGAAGCCTTTTTGTATGGATGGGAGTATATAAAGCAAGATCCATCATGGGTTCGAACGTCAGTTTCTTATCAGTGACGAAGGGAAGAACTGAAAAAGAAGTGAAAATTCCAAAGTAGTGCAGTGAGTGAATAAAAACAAACAGTGAAGTGTAAGTAGTCAGTGATACAGTGACTGAATATAAATCGAAAATAAAGTGTGAAAACTGTGTAAAGTGTACTTGGTGTATTTGTTAATAAAAAGTTAATTTGATTTAAGTTTTATATAATGCCCAAACTTAAAAGAGGAGGAGCTCTTGCCAGTTTTGAATTTTCTTTTGAATATTACTGGGAATTTTCTTGTGAATATTAAAGTTGATATTGTTGACAATATTATTTTTAGTTGCCAAAATTGCCCTTTGAAATAGCCACTCCGAATAATAATAATAAGCGCAGAGCCCAAATGGTTAGGAGTTGAAGGTTGAAATTTGGTAACAGTTAGGGTGTGTCATGAGAACGTACACTAAGAAGGAATTTTTCAAAATTCCCCCCTCAGGAGAGATTGTTAACACTTGAACAATGAAAATGGTTAAGTAACAATTGAAGTGTTAAGAGAAAGCGATGTGCAAGATTTACAGGTGTAGATGTGGTTTTTCATGAGAAATTGAACATATTTTTAGACCCATCTAAAAATTTTCTAATTAGTTTGAAATCAGGGCAACCTAATTCTTGCATTCTGAGAAAACAGGTAAGATTGGCTATAATGTAATAATCTTAATCTTTGCTATCGTTACTTTTTGCCCGAGCAATGCCAGGCTTATCTGCTAGTGGAGAATAATAACAGAGAATTTTTAATTAAATTAAAATTCAATCATCGTGTTATACTTCAAATTTTTGCTTGTTCGTTTAAACGATAAATAACTAACTAATCTAATAAATGGTGCTTTCAAAAGGTATTTTTTACATTTTATGTCAACTACTATCAACATAACTCCTTTTTGTCCTTTCACACAGGAAAGAATGAATTACCAGATAAGACTACATTATGCTCAAAAACAGTTAAAAATTGAAAAATATTCATATAATTTCAACTTAATAATGGATTGTCTTTAAATAAAGCTTATGTACAATTATTCTCAGAAAATTAAAAATAAAATTATTGTGACAAATTAAATATGTATATTTTTAAATTTTATCAATGGCTAAAGAATATTTTAAATTTAATCTTAGAGATTCAATTTAAACCATTTATTAGAGAAACTATAAAATATTTTTGTAAATTATTTAAAATGAAATATATTGTAAACTATTCGTGTATTTTATCTTTTAGATGCAAGATGAAATCAGGAAGGCCATGCAAAATGATAAAAACTATTTTGTACATAAAATAGAAACTGTTGGGGATGAAAATCAACTAATAAAAGCAGCAGTTGAGACATTTGGTAATAAACCAGTAATGTTTTTTGTACCTAATCTAGGAAATAATCAAGTATTGTGTCAATGCCTGGTTCCACCGGTAAGTATTTTTTCAGTTGTCATCTCATCATTAGTTTGAATTTTAATATTTCACAGCCAGTAACTATCTCCAAAAATTTCCAAATAAGAAACACAACAAACTTTTACAATGTCCACGAGCAAAGTTGGCACATGTGGCGTTGCAGTATAAAACTGTAATATCATGTTTTTAACAATGCTTACAAACACAGTTGACAAGTGATAAACATTCTCAGATTTTTACAAAATTTCTTTGACATTAACATACATTTTGTTATTATACTGTGTATGTTTTTTATGGCAGAGCTCAGGACATTCTTATTAACACATTCATTGTTCCCATAGCAGAAGAGTTAATTTAATTTACATTTTTAAATTAATTTACTGTATAGTGATCATTCCTTTGTTGTTGTTAGGATTATGTACTAAATACAGAAATGTGAAGAATTGAATAATTTTAATTTGTGAAAAGCATATTATACAGGAAATCTCAGAACTTCAGTGGTTAAGCATGGTAAAAGAAACCTATTATATCAACTCTCAAGTGTAGGAGAGGTATGTTTGCTATCCATGCATATTTAGACTCCTAATAGAAACACTAAGTTGGTCAACTGAAGTTCTTGGGTGTTAAGATGATTAATGTATAACTGGTGACTTGATGTATTTATATTTTGGAGTTCACTGGCTTCTTGAATGATGATCCTGAAGAAAGTGGATTTAGACTGTGTATGCTTTGAAAACTGTTCTGAATTTATACAAAAAACAGTAAGCCAAGAATCTGATCTTTGTTTCTTTGAGCAATAAAAAGAGGTAATTATAGAAAATTTATTCATAAGTACCTAAATTTAACTGTGAATTACTTTGTTGGATAATTGATTGAAGGGTTTTTTCTTCACTAAATTCTCATATCTGTTGAAAAAAAAAATTGTTTTATTATGAAAGTAAAAACTTAAAATTTAATACTCACAGTAAGTGTATACTGGTTCATAATGATTACTTGAGTTATCATCAATTCCTATGAAACTGATATGAGATTTATCACATATTGTTTGAGTTTAAAATTAAATATACTGTAGCTTAGATTTACAGAATGCTATGTATTATGCATTTTCTGTAGTTTTTAAGATTTTCCTTTTAATTGCAGAGATGTGTCACATCCACATTCAGTGCCAAGACTTGGATGGCTTCGGTGTTGGAGGTATTGGATGGCGAAGGAAATTCAAAAAAACAAAATCCGGAACATTTCTTTTCCATGACAGGAAAGAAAATGGAAAATTTATGTGAAGCCATAGAGACAAGCAAAATGTTTGCAGAGAGGCATCTTAAACTATAATGCGAATTAGTTTTGATATGTTACAAAATAAATTTTTATTAGAAGCCAAATAAATAAGTTATATTCAGACATTTTATATATATTTTTTTTTACATAATAATCATCAAATGAAATCAAGTTTACATAACAGAACAACCTGGAATGTTCTAATAAAGTATCCAGTGCTTTTTACAACACAACTTCTTACAGAAGCAAATAAGAATTTGGAATATTTACATATTTTAATGATGTACAATTATTTGTATAAATGAAATTTTTTCACACATGCAATAATCAATGTACCAAATACAATATAAATATACAAAGAAGAGAAAGCAGACTCAGACTGTTCTTCGGACCAGAATTTGAAAAGCGCTCATCAGCAAATGTCTCAAGATTGTGAGCCTTTTCAGATATCTCGGTTTTTTCTGGCAAAATGGGAATGCCCGTGTCTGAAAATAAAATGGAATGATGGTGATTCAGAACAAAAATTAATTCTCAATGTATAACAACAAATTTTATAGTGTAATTAAAAACATGAAGATACTGAATTCATGATTATTCATGCTAATTAGTGCATGGGTGCGCACAGAAAACATGGATAATCCAAAATATCCATCTGAATGGTTTTTCAAATGTAGTTTAGAGGTTTTAAAACCACAAGCTCACATTGTGTTTTAGACATTTCAGCTTATGAAACTTTGTTATATTTCTACACTATTTTTGAAAGTACACATTTATTTTAGGACTACTAGGAATTTTTTTCATGTGTATTCTATTAAAAAGCTGAATGTTACCGTCTCATTTTACAGTAATTCTAATATCTTTGATGATGCACAGATGTTTGATTTTTACAAATTCCTTTATTTGTTTAACATCTTCCATTTTCAGTTGATTTTGATAATTTAATACAAAACTATAAACTTGTTTACTATACACAATTTGAGATTAAGAGCAATGCAAGCATAATAATAATTGCATTTTTTCTCAGGTTTTCACTGAAAGCGCAAATAGTTTAATGAAGAATTTAAAAAGGTTTTTGACTTGTGAATAACATTTTGTGCATCTTTTGCTCATCCCATTAATCATCATCATCTAGTGTTTGGCAAAAGTATTTTGAGACAAGTCCAAGGCTGTATTTAAATACTATGTATCTATTGAACTTTGGCATTTACAATATGTTCAAACAACAAAAATGTTAAAAATTATTTTGTTTTCCTAAGTCCAAATAAAATTTTTTTTGTTTAGTCTAATTTAACAATAGTTCAACAGGAATCATTTTACAAATATTAATAGTATACCAATGTTAATAGTACAGTAAGACCACGCTTAATGCAAGGGGATGCATTCCTAGATAACAAAGCGCTAAACTAACTAGTGTTAAATGAGGTCATTTTAACAGAGTAAATAGGGATAGGGGAACACGCAGCCAAAAATAAACAAATTTTACTTTTAAGTTGTTTTTATATTAATTTGTATAATAATATATGTTAAATAACAGACAAACTTTGCATTTCTGTGTGCATATGTTTATTTTTTATGAGGAAGGTCCTCACTATCGCAAAATACAAGAATTTCAGAAAAGTCCTATAGTTTCATTTGTTGCTTTCTTCTTTCCTTAAGCAAATGTCAGTAGCAGATTGCATCCAAAATGCCTTGTTTTGCTTTTGCACTCCTTTTAAAATCTGGATCATTCACTACAATTTGATCAAAGATTTCAGTTTTCATTACCAAACTTTTACTAAGGAGATCTGTAACAAGTTCTTTGGGTTCTTCCTTTTCAGAAACTTTGTTTTCCAGTTCTACCAATTCTTGAAGGTCGTCATTGGTAAGGATCTCACCAGAAACCTGTGGTAACTCCTCAATATCCTGTTTGTGTACTGTACATCTCCTAGTCCTGCTGTATCAATTAGGTTGAGTTTTGTCAATGAGCTACAAGGCTCTTCTCATTGAGAATACAAGGCTATATATAAGGCTCTTCTCATTGAGAATTCTTACATACAAGGCTCTTCTCATTGAGAATTCTTGGATACCTTCAGTCATAACTTATTCCACATTTTGTTCATGCATTCATCAGTTAATTCTTGCCATGCAAAGTCGACATTGCCTATGGCATCCATGATGTGATATTTTTTCCAAAATTACACCAAACAGATTTTAAAAAAGTACACCTTTTTTCCACCCTTTTCTAATTGGTTTGGTTTGTGTTCGTAAATAATTGTATTATATAAGAATCAATGAAATGCCGCAATAATTTAAATCAGTGTAAATTTTGAGCTTCTTTTAGGCTTCGAGCAGACCGCATTATATCAAATCAGTGTTAAGCAGGGTCTTACTGTAGTAGTCATTGATCATCCTCTCTTCTAAGAGATCAATGACTACTTTTGGTTAAATTACTTCAAACTGCCTTCTTTCTATCAGTATGGTGGCATTTGAATAGGAAAATTACACAATGCAAGGTTACCAACCTATACAAAATATGTTTTAACTTGGCACCCTGGAAAACCTCTTAAAATATTTGATCCATTTTTTGTGAAATTTGAGTCATTGGCAGATTATCATTCACAGCTGAATATCAAAATGGCACAGTTCCTTATCTTAAATTTTTTCTAATGTTAACTCTTATCATATTTTCAATTGCTGTCTACTTGACCATTGAAAGTGTGCCATTTTGTACTATCTGAGTATTGCAATAAACATGACAATGGTAGGCTGAAATTACAAACATTAAAACAAAAACCATATAAAGAGTTTGGTTGTTATACAAATCAAATACATAAGATAACCTTTGTTATATTATAGTAAGGGTTTATCACACTAATTGACCAATTTTAAAGTCTTTATTCATCTACTGTATATAATTTTTAAAATGCACAACATTGGGTACTTGATGTTTTAAACCCTTATGTAATATAACCTTTGTAGTTATATAAATCAAATACTATAATATAATATAATAGAAGAGTTAGAAATATGAAATAATCTAATAAACTTAACGTTTTTTGTTACTTTTTGCCCAGGCAAAGCTGGGCTTACCTGTTAGTTAAACTAGCATTTACAAAAAATTTTTTATACACACTGGGTCCAATTCAATTTGGAAACTCCAAGAGAATACTAAGATTCTAATTGACTTTCAGAATTCAAGATTCAAGTATTTAAATTCAATTAATAAAACAATGACTGAGACTTTACTTATACCTTGTAATAATGTGATATTTTAAAATCTTTTTGGATTAGAACAAAGTCACAGAAAATGTAAATTAATTTTTGTGTGACTTTTTTATGTTCATATTTTTAAATATCCATCAGTTTAATATTTACATTCAAAGCAATATTTTTGAAGAAAATTAATAAGTTCTCTTAAAGTTGAGTAAATTTAATTTACACACATTAATTTTAAAACCTGAATAACTCTCCTATTATATCATTAAATTCTTCAAAACTAAAATACAAGTATATATCTACTACACCAAAACAAACTCACCTTTATCAAGCTCACCCCAAAAGTATAGTTGATGGTATTCTTCATTGAGATCCAAAGCATTCTTTCCAGGAACTTTTACTGGCATATCAAATTTACATCCAAAATAATGTGCATCATAGTCATTAGCAAAGTTTTGAAAATTTTCCTAAAATTAAAAATTTTATCCCATTTAATAAAGTTCAATCATGACAGAAAAACATTTAAATTGAAAACATTTCTGATAATAGTACAAATTTATAAAACATTTCACATCAGTTGATAGTGAATTGGAAACATCCTGATTAAATAATAGATTTAATTAATTAACAAAAAAAAATCCCAACAACATTCAATCAAATAAAAACATGTAAAAATAATAATTTATACATTTTTAAATTGCATATTCAATTCAATAAAATGCATAACTTCTGCTTTTTACAAACAATCACATTACTAGTATAAAACAAAAAATATATGTCAAGAAATGTCATTTAGTATTTTTAGATATATAGAAAAAACAAAACAAAAAATAGTTGCTAATTCTGTACAATCATCATCTAGCAAATCTCAAGCATAATAGAATAAATTCTGTGTTTCTTTGTATATTATTAAGAAATGTATGAGAAACTTGACCATACATTTTTCCCATGTTTTAATTTTAAAATATAAATTAATTATGTTCTAGATCAGCGGTTGGCAACGTTTCTCACCTCATGAACCACTAAAGTTACAATTTTGAATCCCATGGACCATTATCATGAATTTTTTAAACTATACAAAGTCTGTAGAGTAATGATCACAAAAGTTCAATTTTACTATATTAATATGAAACTCGCATGTTTAATTATAACAAATTAATGCAAGTCTAAAGTTCATCACTGCTTGTTTGAAACAAGTTTATGAATTCTTCATGTTTTTCCACAAAGGACAACAATCACACTCACAATATTGTTTATTGTTCATTATTTATTGATAACAGTCACTTAGTTTTTGGTTTTAGATTCAAATAAAAAACCCCCAATGAGTGAAAAAAGCAACTAAGCATTTTGCATTTCTTTTGTAATACTTTGCATAACCTTTGGTTGATCAATGTTCAAATTTCTCCACGGACCATCCAAATTTTGTTGCGGACCATCAATGGTCCACAGACCACCGGTTGCCGACCATTGTTCTAGATAATGGTGCTAAAGTAAATTTTAAGTGTATAACATATTTGCAAAAGTTAAGCTGTAGTCTTGAATTCATAAAATTTTAAAAATCACATCAAGTATAACTGAATTTTATTAGTATATAAAAGCATTTTTATTTAACGTCACTGAAAAATAAGTTTTTGGCACACTAAAGAGTTTATGCACCAAAATGCATATATGGTTACAGGTTGTAAATACGACAAAATTTTTAATTCATAACTTCTACTCTATAAATTTATTTCTGAAATTTATTAAAATTTAAATACTCTAAAAGAATATTTACAATTGATGTTCAGCAAAACTACTGAACATCCATTGTTGTTTATTAAATATTCTTTTAGGAGTATTTAAATTATAATAAATTTCAGAAAAAATTTTTAATTCATAACTTCTACTCTATAAATTTATGTCATTTTTACAACCTGTAACCATATATGCATTTTGGTGCATAAACTCTTTAGTGCATAAACAACACCCATTGTTGTTTATTAAATGTAGTTAATACATGTGAATAGCAGTTAAAATTGTACTATTACTTCTCAGTCCATTTACAAGTGGATTCTATTTTTATCATAAATCCTCACTTAATCACCCATTTCTCACTTAGATGCTCAAGGGAAATAAAATGAAATGTCTCTTTTAATACCATAGTATCATAAAGAATGATTTCCACTATACAATTTGTCCAGCAAAATAGATTCATATAGAACATTGATTACATAGCAACAACCCATTTACATATGCCAAAATTGTGGACTGGAACAAATAGATCTCATTCCTACTTTTTGATGTGAACAGATAATTAAGGATAGAAATCACTGACCAACAGCCAATAGGAAACATTTTCTACAGCTTGTTGAAAATCTTATTGATCTGGCAAAAAAAAATTCATTTTTGTATGATCAGTCTTGAATCTTCATAATCAAATTTTTTAAAATGATATTGTATAGGCAAAATTTTTTGAAGAATTAGAAATTGTTTGTAATTCTAATTTCATCTGCTATTGGATGGAATAGTTATGTTACAAACAAGTATCTGTTTCACTGTTCTGTAATGGATGTTCATTTTAATCATGTGCTTGAAACAGATTATGCTTCACCTAATTGTCAGAGCAATTATGTGGAAGATATATGGTAAGTAGAATCTACTTATTGTGACAGTGGTTAATATTGTTAGTTGTTTAAATGTTTACTTATTGTAATAAGAATTCAGTTATTGTATTACTGTTATCTTCAGGTAAACAATACAAAAACTATTTGAAAATGCCTCTCAACTTCAACATGAAGTTCTTATCACTGAACTAGTGCTCTAACATTAACTGTTATAATTGTCATTTTTTTGCAATACAATGGTTTAAATAGTAGACATTTCTTCAATTATAATTAAGCTCTTGTTAAAAAGACAGTATTGCAAATAATGCTAGATGAATTACTATTAATAATTATGATTACTAAATCTTCAAATTATACATTTCCACTAATTGTAATCTTACTTAACCTGCTTAATGTTATCAGTTGTTTTTCATTATTAGAATAGGAAAGACCCAAAATTATCAAATTAAAATTTTTAATTGAGTATAATTATTTAATTTTAAAATAAGAAAAGTTACATGAAAATTTAATTGTTTGAATATAAATTTATGAGTATTAAAAATTAAACTAATTTTGAAACTTTGTAATATCATAATTAACTTCATTAAGAAAGGATAAGATTGATGAAGTAAGGCAATACAATATTTGAATGATCTGTCAATGAGATGTCTTCTCAGAATGACTTTGTATAAAGAAACTGGTTTAGGACTTCCTATTTTAGATATTAGACATAAGAGAACACAGAAAACTCTACATGGCCAGCCTGGTGATGAAATGCAAACCTGTGATCAATGGTTTTATCCACTTGACCATTGTTAGGTACTTTTTTTATGAAAGCTTAAAGACAAATATTAAAATAGAAAAAAAAAACCGTTCATAGTACTGTATATATAATAATTTTTCTCTTAGTCTCAATGCCTATTTCATGCATTTCATGGGATATATTTGTTTGTAGCTTTTCCAACTTTCTATTGTAATACAGTAGAGCATCGATTTTCCGAAAATCAATCATCCGAAAGAATTCCAGTTGACAAATTTAAATTTTTCCCAATGCTGTGGCACTTCAATCTTTGGCTATGTCTTGGGCTACTCAAACATTTTACGTTTTTGATACTAAATTAACATCTGAAGTATAATTTTTTATTATTTTTATATTTTTCAATATATTTATTTTGTTTGTACAAAATAAAAAAATAATTTTTAACGATACAATAGTCTTCGTTAGGCTTAACATCGACGAAAATTCAACGCGAAGCGACACGCAACGGAGAGAAATTTCAACATGGGATAAATTAATATATTTTTTCGTACATGATTCGTTATCCGAAACACCCCAGTCCCCAATTGATTCGGATAAACGACGC